ATGAAGTTCAGAGAACACCAAGCAGGTGTCATTGCTGTCATCCTTACAGGAATAAAAAGGGTTGTAAGGGAATACAATGAATGAGGATATATATGCCAGCAAGTTAGGAAACCTAGATGGAAAGAACAAATTCTTAGAAACAAACTACCAAAACCGACTCAAGAAGAACTAGAAAATGTGAATAGTCCTATAACAAGTAAAGAGATTGAGTTAATAATAAGAAAACTTCCACAAAAACACCAGGACCATATGGCTTCCTGGTGAGTTCTACCAAAAACTAACACCAATCCTCAAACTTTTCCAAAGAGGAGGGAACACTTCCTAATTCATTCTGAGCCAGTACTACCCTGATATTAAAACTGAAGTCATCACAATAAACGGAAACTATAGACCAATATACCTATGATTATAAACGCAATAAAACCTCAACAAACACTAGAAAACTGAACTCAGCATAGCAGCACATAAAAAGGATTATACACCATGACCAAGTGGGATTCACCCAAGGATACAAATGTAAAACAATGGAATAAAGGACTAAAACAATGACCATCTCAGTAGTTGCAGACAAAACATTTGACAAAATCCAACACTCATTCCGACAAAAAAAACCCTCAGCAAACCAGGAACAGAAAGGAACTTCCTCAAACTAATGAAAAGTATGGAAAACCCACAGCTAACGTTACTTAGTGGTAAAAGACTGAAAGCTTTCCCCTTGAGATCAGGAACAAGATAAGGACTCCACTCTCATCGCCTCTATTCAACACCGTCCTGGAGGTTCTAGCCAGAGAAATTAGGCAAGAACGACATACAGGGCATCCAGACGGCGAAGGAAAAGTACCTCTATTTGCACATCAAATGGTCTTGTATGTAGAAAAGCAAATGGACAAAACTGCAATTAAAAAGCACAGGCTATCAAACTGGATGAAGAAGCAAGACTCCACTCCATGCTGCCTATAAGAGGCTCATTTTAAATATAAGAACAATTGAGTTGAAAATAAAAGGAGGAAAATGGTAAGCATCAGAAACTGAAGTGGCTATGTTAATATCAGACAAAATAAACTTCAAGATAACATGGGACATTTCATAAAGATAGTCAATTTTAAAGAAGACAAAACTAAAGGGAAGTATAGACAATCTCATCCTAAATGGAGATTTTTAATACCCTTCTAACAATAATTGATAGAACTAGACAAAAAAGAAGAATATAGATGATTTTAAAACTATCAACTACCTCCGTCTAACTGGCATTTATGGAACATTGTACATAGAACTGCAGAATACATACCTGTTTCATTCCACGTGGTATGTTCACCAAGATAGTCCATATGCAAAACCATATAAAAAGTCTCAGGAAATGTCAAAAGATTGAAAACTTCCAGAGCTTATTTTCTGACCATAATAAAGTTAAATTAGAAATTACAAAGGTAAGATAGCTATTTTACAGTCTAAATCACCTATGGGTCAAAGAAGAAATTAGAAGGGAAATTAGAAAATATTTTCAATTAATGATAATGAAAACAGAATTTGTGAGGTGCAAATAAAGCAGTGCTTAAAGCGGAAGTTGTAGCTATAAATGCTTCTATTTGAATATAAGAAAAGTTAAATTAATTATCTGAATGTCCACTTTAGGAAACTAGAATAAAGAGGAAATTAAGTTGAAAATAAGTAAAGAAATAAATAATAGAAGTCAAAGCAAAAATCACGACATAGAAAACAATATGGAAATTAGCAAAGCCAAAGTTCGTTTGTTAAAAAGGTTAATTAAAAGGATAAAGAGGGAATGTTATAGACAATTTTGTGCCAATAAATCTGACTGATCAGATGAAATGGACAAATTATTTTTAAAAAACAACTTACCAGTGCTGATACAAGGAGAAATAAAAAGTCTGAATAGTGTTATACCTATTAAATTAAATTTATAACCAAGAACTTTTCCATCAAGAAAGCTCCAGGCCCAAATAATTTCCCAAGTGAATTCAATCAAACATGAAAGAAGTAATAGCAATCTTACACAGGCCCTTCCAGAAAACAGAGGAGAAGGGAACACTTCCCAGTTTATATTACAAGGTCAGCAAAACTCTGATGCCAACCCCTGAAACAGACATTACGAGAAGGAAATTTACAGACAAAACCTTGGCACATCAAATCCAGCAATATATAGAAAGAGTAACACAGCACAGCTAAGTGGGATTTATCCAGGAAGATGAAGTTGGCTTAATATTTGAAAATCAATCTGTATTTCACAGCCATAAGAGAGTACTTATGCCGGTATATACATTTATAAAAACTCATCAAATTGTACAGTGTGGATCTGTGTCTTTCGCTATATGTAAAGTTTGCCTTAGTCCCTTTAAAAAAAAAACAAAACAGAAAAACAGTAAGATACCTTAATCCTAGGCCACACATGAAAACAGACCCGTTGCCTTTTAAGGTCACACCTATTACAACCATAAAATCACATCCTTAGTGCAGAAGGACACATCTTTCTCTAATGTAAATGCAATAGATGTCAATTCATCTAGCATATCCAAGAGCAGTTTTAAATAAGTAGGATGCAGATTTCCAAAGGGTTGGGAGGAATCAGAGCATGTCTGTCTTTCGTCCTATTCACAGTTTTTACCCTGTCTGTTGAGAGCTCGGTCCTTCCTCATCCTACCTGTCGTGGGAGTTTGGTAAGTCCCAGAAGGGCAGACCTCCCTGACTAATCATAATTCCTGTCTGCCTCTGATGATTTGAAATGGTCCTGTTACTTCACGGTAATATGTATGATTCCAATATTGTGATGCCAAGCGCTTTCTGGCAGGGTTATGAATTCTCAAATTAACTCAGCCTGGACAAACCATACCTCTCTTCTACCATGTCATGTAAGGACCGTACTTGAGAAACTCCATCTGAAAGCAGAACAAATATCTGACTGCTTTGCATTTTCGGTTTTGGAGAACCAAAGATTCTTCTGGCATATTTAATATCCCTCAAGTTGTGAACTCAAAGAACTTGTTTTGTTCTTATGCCACATTTTCTTCAGGATCACTTATGTACACTCAGGGAAAAATAATTTTTGTTCTTTATAATTCTTTGGCAAGCTCAAACAGTAAATAACCCAATCATATTGGAATCCACGTGAGGTCCCAGATTTTGTTTTGTTTTTCTTTTTCTCTTTTGTTATTTCATTCATTAAAAGAAGGTTAGAGTTCCTACTAGGTGGACAATATTGTTCTAGGCACTTCAGAGGAACAAAGATCAGAGAGCTTACAGAACTCTTCTTACATGTAGAGACACAAAACTGGTAGAGGAAATGCACATGAACCTATATGACTGGCATCATGGCAAAGCGTGATAAATATCAGAGTTCAAATCCTACCCAGCTGAGAGAATGAGAGGGAGTTTTATGATGGAGGTGGAATTTGATTCAAGGCCTTAAAAACTAGGAGGGATTTTAATATATGAAGGCTAACGAAGAGAGCCGTTGTTCTTGGAGAACCAAGGCTAGAAAAGCAGAGGGGCCCGAGACCGAGGGCGTCTGAATTCAGCGGGCAGCAAAAAGCCACTGGAAGATTTCAAGAACCATCCTGGTCCAGGAGCATATTTCTGAAATACACATGTACAACGGTCACCGAGGGAACCAAGAAGAGGAGAGACTTCGTCCGTGTGCTTTAACAGACCTCTCAAGTCTATTTTCTGAAACAGGCTGGTGTCAAGTAAATTACACTTTAAAATACCTCTAAGCTTCCATTTTATGTTCAGCCAAACTAGCATTTAAACAATGGAATGAAAGGTTCTTCATGTGAAAAGGAACCATATAGATGTGCTGAACTAGGGTTGAACTTGCTGGGAATCGAGTGAACGGGAGAAAGACCTTGTTTGCATTATTTGTGGGTGCAGAGGGCTTGTGCTGGACCCTTCTGGCAGGCCTGGGTTTTGGGGTGCACCATGAGAGGTGCTGAGAGCTGAGGAGGGCAGCCCGCACTCATTCTTGGAGGGTTGAATGAGAGCCCAGGAGGGGCAGAGGCCAGGTGTGTATGTGGGAGGCACCTCACTGACTCACCAGTGATGTAGAAGGCCTTGTAACGCTGCAGGCGGACTGTCTGAAGAGCTCCATACTCTCCCGCTGCCCCGCTATTGGGGTGAAACAGTACCTGAGAAAGGGTGGCAGGCTTACTAATGAGGAGACCACACTCGATGCTCCTTATAAAGCATCACTTTCTTTGTCTGGTCCCCCTCCCCACCACCCCGACTGTCTCTGCCCTCCATCCCTATTCAGACCCCAAACAAGGGCAGACACTGGCCAACTCCCCGGAGCCTCCACGAATAGCTGCTATTCTACTGGTTAATTAACGGGAATGGGTTTCAGCTCCAGTCAGATTCCTAGGCCCGGTACCAGCTAGATAATTTGCAGGGCCCAGTGCAAAATGAGAATGAGAGAAACGCTTTCCGAAAATAATTTCAAGACGGCTACAGCACACGCTCTTCAAACAAAGCACAGGGTTCGGCTCAGGTCACAGGCCTGGGAGGCCAGGGCCCTGCCTGGGCCCGACCCCTGGAGAAAAGGGGCCTGGGAATCTGTATGTTTTACAAACATTCCCAGGGATTCTGACACAGGTGAGCCTCTGATGGCTTTGAAAAACGGCTTCTCCAGCACCCAGTCGATTTTCTAACTCTCACTCAAGCAAGTGTAAGACGGCATCTTGAGGACAGCTCAGTGGAGGAACTGAACGCAGCCTGACCTCTAAACACAGAGCTCCTCACCTAACTCAGTCCTACTCCACTGAGGCTGAGAAAAATCCTTCCTCATCAGGTCACAGATGAAAGCATCACCCTATGCAACGGAAACACCTAATGCAGGACCCCCAAGGGCAGGATTTGGTAGGAAAGAAGTGACCAATGCCCTTGGTAGGTGGGTGGTTTTGGGTGGAAGCATGAGACTACGCTGGTATGAATCATGACCGATATATATCACTGGAAGGCGCTTACGTGATTCAAAGTTTCCATGGGGCTAAAAAAAAAAAAAATGAGGAACATCTGTTGGAGCCGCAAACAGCTGTCCCCCCAAGTTTCCCGGCTCTGAGAGGATGCCGCCCAGGGCGGGGCTCCGCCCACACCTGCTGCTTCCGTGCTCTGTGCTCTCGTGACAGCCCTACAAGCTCCCCAGCCCCCGTGATGACAGCGGGCTCCTTCCAAACAGGAAAAGAAGTCGTAACTCAAAACCCTCACTTCTTCCAGCTCCGCAGGAAGCCAAGCTCTCGCCGCAGGAGGCTGTTTTGTTTCCTTCTGGGGAAGGCAGGAAGTGGGAGACTTGGAAACCCTATTGTCAACGTATCTCTGATGCTCTCCGACATCCAGAAGATGGGAGTCAAGGTCCGCTGGTTCAAACCATTGGTATTTGAGAATCAGGAACCGAAACACCATTAAGGGTGGCTGCCTCGTTCAGGGCATTCACGTGGTATTGTCAGAGGCAACTTCCAAAATCCGAGAGGCCGCAAAGCTTCGGGATGGCTCACTCTCAGAAATGTGGATGGATTTGGGGGAACTCGTATATGCTGTTTTTCCTTCTTTTGAGCAGGCTGATTATGGCGTTCTTGTTTATATGGACATAGGAAGGAGGTTGGCAAATTTACACATGAATCACAACTGAAGACATTTCCTCTCCAGAGGCCACCCGGTCCAAATTTCAAAGATAACTTTATCTTCAGCAAACATGTTGCGCCTTTTTGATTGCCTTTCTCACCTGTTTGCTTGGTTTTATTTTATTTTTTAAGCCGGCTAGCATCTCCTTATCTCGGGCCCTGGGGGCTGGAGCTTCTGTAGCATCCCTTTCAAAGCCCCTCCATGGCGGGTACACAGCTGGAGTTCCTCAAAGGGGTGGGCTGTTCGCCAGCCACTCCAGGTGGCCTCTTTCGCCACTAGGGGCCTCCCTAAGAGAAGTGTCAGGACTAAAACCCAGCTTCTGCTTCCTCCGGGTATGGCCTCCAGGGGTGCGCCAAGCATTTAGGGCCCCCAGCAGCCCCAGTCTGGTTCGGGCCGGACAAGTGCAGAGCCATTAAAGAAGCCTTCCCTTTGTTGACAATTTTTGGACAGGGTCAGAGCAACCTGGGGCTGAGAAGTGACTTGATGGGTGGGGACCTCACCGCTCCAGCTTCCACCTGGGAATCAGGCAAACATACAGTGGGACACTGATGCTGGGCTGTGCACCTTCCCTTTCCCAGCTCCCGACTCCCCCCTTGTGGTTCCCTCAGGGCAGATGCCGACCTGTCAAGATCAGAAGCAGAAGGCCCAGCACAGCTGTCGGTTTTGAACTTCAAGGACTTGATGTCCCCAGCTATCAAGGAGACAGGCAGTGGGAAAATGGAGAGCTCATTATCTGCCTTTAAACCTCTCAACATAGAGCCCAGGGAGGTTACCAGAGGGTATGTGGCTCTAGGTTGCTTCCACAATTCAATTTTCAGTCACTACATCTTCAAAATAGGGAAGAACCCACTTGCTGAGACATATTTGCATATTGTTTTACAATGACCAAGTAGGAGTCACTGTGAGTTTTTGAAACAGGAATGGTTTTCTAAACCAACCCACATTAGAATCCTTGTAAGCCCAGGACATATCTAATTGTGAACACCAATTAAATCATGTTTATTAAAAAACACATGAGTGTACGTGTAGGCATGTGTAGGTACACATATATGTATATGTATGTGTATCTATACAGTCACCCATATTTTTACCTCCTGGCCGCCCTTCAGCGACTCAAGACAATTTTACTCTAGTCTTTGTAGTGATCTTCCAGAAAAGATCAAGGTCAAATTCAGGACCAATAAAACTACCTATACTGCTCTCAAACTGCAAAATATTTTATTTCAAGCATCTTCACTGACATTGCAGGAATCAAGTGCTCTCTGGGAGGCTGGGTGTGGCCCCCAAGTGCCTGCCAGCACGTGCTTTTACTAAGGAAGACACCATCAGCAGCTTCTGGGCCAAGGGGTGCAGTTAGGGAGCAAATCAGCCCGACTCCAGCTGCATCACCACACATCAAATGTCCCCACTAAAACCCCAAACGGTGCTGTGGCTTGTTTCTGGTCCCCCCACCTGGCCCCTGTGCCCAACCCCGTTGGACACGAGACCAGGAACTGTTAAGGCCCCAGCATGGGGCCTCTGTGAGCTGAGAGACAAGCCCTCCCCATCTGAGAACGGAAGTTAGCGCGTGAAGGAGCTGGCTTCCCCGGGCAGGCTGACATGTCAGGGAGACCACAGTCCTTGAAGCACTTCCTGGTGACCCCAATTACTCTATTAGTAGCCATGGTAATAAACACTCAGGAGCACCTCTCCACTGACGTCTTCAATAAGCCAGCAGGGTCACATACTGCAAATTTCCAGGCTAAAGGCGGAAGCCATCTTCCTGCTTCACTGCTGTTTGGGAGTAGGGCTCAGCCTAGAAGGCTCTAGAAAGTCAGATATCCCAGGGAGAAGCAAGACTTCTTCAGAGGACATTCCAGGCATTCTCTGACAGCCCCCAGAACATGCATGAATGTTCCAGAAGTGCTGATAGCCCACACAGGCCCTGGTGCTGGCTCACTGGGGCCAGTTGAGGGGAAGGGCAGCTCCAGCAGCCACCACAGTACATTTGAGCATCATTTGAGTCACTTCCATGTGACCCTCAGTAAAGACATAAATAGACCCTTTGATGTGTGGGTCTGTAACTGAGAAGTTGTGTCCTCACCAGGCCTTACAAAGAGGGCTCAGGGTCCCCCCCCCCACTTCCTCTTCCTTTTCCTTTCAGCAAAAGGAAAACACATGGAAATGACAAGAAAAAGCCATCAGGCCTGACACTTACTGGCTGTTGCTGCCACCGAGTGCGCAGAGCACATGAAGAGGGGATGCTGGGATGCTGGGAAGCAGAAGCCCAAAGCCAGTGTTGGGGCTGCAGAGCTGTGCGCTAGGCCCTCCAGGAGCCAGGAAAATGTCAGGGGCATGAAGGCCTTGCTGGCCCTGCCGTCCAAGGGGAGTTCCATTCATTCATTTGTTCATTCATTCATCCAATTTGCATTTACTGCATGCTGGCTGGGTGCCAGGCACTATATTAGGTGCCCTGAGAATTCTGAAGTGGGATCCTCACCCTTAGGAAGCTCCTATTCTAATGGGGAAGGCCCACAATAGGGCAGTCACAGGCATTAGTCAGCCATCTCCTCCAAAAAAACGGTGCTGGATCCTCTGTGTCGGAAAATTCAGTAGTTGGGGGAAAAAATCACATGCTATAGGGGAAAAGCACCCAGGTACACCCACCCTAAGCCAAATTGTTAAATATAAATGTGGACTGACAGACTGGCTTGATTATAGAGGAAGGAGTGAAGGGAGCAGAAAGAAAGGTTCATCTCACAGGGGTCACGCCATGGGGTTTCTTAAACTGAGTCTGGAGTGGCCACTCACTGAGGATGGCTCTGTGTGTACAAAGGCAGCCCTGGATGACAAGCAGCGGGCCAAGCTCCCACAGAGCCTGGGGGTCACACACCTCCTCCACTTACCCTGTGCCCAGTCTGAGACCGGCCAAAGAGCACTTCAGAGACATCCAGACCGTCGAAGTGCCGGCCTTGGGGCAGGCCAGCCCCGGCCAGGGCGACCACCGTGGGGAAGATGTCCAGCACACTGCAGGAAGGACAAGACACATTGGTCGCTGCTAGTCTCAGGCTCTCCTCCTGGCCACGCTGCGCTCAAAACCCACCCGCCCTCCGCCTGAACCAGCCCGGAGCAGCACTGACAGCCTCCTGCCCGTCCTTACTCCAAGTTCCACCTGGATTCGCGCTCCTATGAGAAGAGGAATGGCGTGGTAGTTCAGCACCCAGGTGATTGCCTAGGTTTTACCCGGGCTCAAATCCCAGGGCCACCCCGACATAGCTTCACAATGCCTTACTTTCCAATTCTTTAAAACGGGCATGATAACAACAGTGCCCACCTCACCGGGTGGTTGTGTGTTTGAGACACACAAGCAGGGAATGGATAAGAAAGGCTGGCCCTGGGAAAGTGCTCACTGGGCGTTTGCAGCGCACCCCTCCAAGCCTATGGAAGGACTAAGGAGTTCTTCCTGTCGCCAAGTAGGCCTCAGCCATTCACGGAGAGCAAACGGTATGTAACAGGTGTTTGCAAAAGAATATCCACGTCATTTTCTTTCCCTGAGTCTCTGCATCACAAATGCTTAGACTTTGTTTAGAACGCCAGCATATGGGAAACTTTCCTCCCCCTTGATTTTAGCTCTTCTTTCCCATTACAAAATAGTAAATGCTTAGGGTAGACCAAGAACAGAACATTCAGAAATATAAGAGAGAACAACACATAAACAGTCTGTATCCCCAAGGCAGCCATTGTTAACATTTTGCTGGATTTTGTTATGATATTTTTTTTAATCATGTGGTACAAATTTTTTCTACTATAGGGCAGATCTCCCTCCAGCCTGCTGTGCTCATGTCAGAAAAACACTTTTCCACATGAACAGATGGGCTGCCCTTTCAACAGCTGTTTATCTGAGGGCCAAGCCAACAGGGGGCCTGTGGGACTTGATGGAGCTCAACGTGGAGGGCCAAGGTGGGGCCTGCTTTCCTCGGCAAGAGGCCCCGGTTCTCCTGGGGCCAGGCACAGCAATGATTTTGAGGTGCAAGAAGGCCTCTGGGGCCACACCTCCCATTTCCCCACCCTGAGGTTTGCAGAGGGGAGTCTCCACCCTCCAAGAGGGGCTGCAAGAGGGACCCACCACATGGCAGTGCCAACAACCCCTGGTGGGACCTCTCCTTTGACTACAGTACAGAGCATTTCTGGTTTGCCTTTAGCTTTCACAGTTTGTGTAGCTGGTGGCTTCTCTCTTGAGATACGCGCCCCGGTTGCTGGCATCCCTCACTGGTGCAAAGCCGAGGAGCAGGAAGCAAGCACTTGCAGAGCACGCAGTCCAGACACCTTCCAGAGGCCAGGGCTTCTGCTGCGGCTCGGGCAGCCCAGACTGCAGTGCGGTGGGCAAGGCTGTGGCGGGCACGGCTGCTGGTTTGCAGGAGCCTTTTCTACATGGCGTCCCAAGAAGAGACAGACACCACAGATGGGCCAGAACAGTGAGCAAGCAAAACGGGATCCACCTTCGAGTTTGGAATGTGTGGTATACTTTCTTTTCCCATCTTAGCTTTTACCCCTCTACCATGAGGCTTAGCATCCTATATATATATATACACATACAGCAGTCGTTTTAATGTTCATGGAACCCTGGTGTCTCAGAATTTGGCAGGAACCTCAGAGGGGCCTAGTCCACTTAGAGCACAAAGAAAACCTCTGGCCCACGAGAAGAGCATCAACACCTCCCATGACTTGCCAGCCCAGTACTGATCGCCAAGCCCAGGCTGCCAAAAAGTCCTTCCTTGTGTAATGGAGGAAGCCAAGGTCCCAGCGTCAGCCCGGAGGGGTGGGACCCTCCTGTGCACACCAGCCCCAGTGCCACCCCAGGGCCAGGCCCCCAGCCAAGCTGTGAGCCTGGAGAAAGTGTCAGTCCTCCAAAGGACCCCAGCTCCTCCAAACCTCAAACCCCACCTGCGAAATTGGTCCTGGGAGTCTTTGAAACCTTGGAAAAGAGACCAAAACCCCCAAGCCCTCCACGTGTAGGTGTCTGTGATTCATGATGACCCCTAGAGGGAGGCTTTCTGGGCCGCGTGCTGACTCCCGTGGGGCCTGGCTCCCTCGGCTTTCACAGAAGATGCTAGAAACTACATTTCACAACTGCGTTGACACAAAGATGAATATATAAGCAGTATACATTAAACCATTTCCTTCAACCTAAAAGTTTTTTTTTTCTTCTGGTTGTGAAAGAAAATAAAATTTTCATGTGCCCCTAAAAGTCTCATGGGGCCTGGCACTGTGCCTCCCTAGCCTGATGGGCAAGTCGGCCTTGACTTCTGGAGGAAGGAAACCCCTCTTCACTAGGTCTTTTGATTATGAAAAGGGCAGCCAAGAGCCCGCTGGTGGAAGAAAAGGCTGAGATTTCCCTGCATAAAATGACATAAAAAGCTGTCCTCAAGGGAGATGTCTAGGCTGGCATGTGCATACAGTGAGACAACGAATTTGACCGGATCTGTACTGTTGGAACTCAACCAGGAGGTGGGAGGGGTGCAAGTTGTAGCGCTCCAAAATCTTACGACTATAGACTATCTACGGTTAAAAGAACATATGGGATGTGAACAGATCCCAGAAATGGGTTGCTTTAATTTGTCTGATTTCTCTCAGACTGTTCAAGTACAGTTGGACAATATCCATCATATCATAGACAAATTTTCACAAATGCCTAGGGTGCCTAAATGGTTTTCTTGGCTTCACTGGAGATGGATGGTAATTATAGATTTGCTTTGTTTATGTCACCGTATTCCTATTATGTTAATATGTGTGTGCAAATTAGTTAGTAGTTTAAAACCTATACATACTTAAGGTACTATACAAGAAGATATGTCAAAGAAATAATCAATCCTCCCATGTTTCCTTCATATGCTACATCTATAGCTTTTCTTCTTCCTTCCTAATTACAAACCTTAAATAGAATTCGTGCCTCATATCGAATTTACCGAGTATCATAATTCCTCCAGGTGGTAAAGATACCTCGAGACAAGTGCTGGGCATAGAAGCCACAGGGCATAAATCTGCAAAGAAGTAAAAAGCTAACCTTTGCAAACAATATGGCTTCTCTCTCACTTACCAACTTTACATTTCCCTGTATGGCCC